GAAAGACCGGGTGGTCTTCCAAGTTTCTTTTCGGTTGTCGCACTCACCTCATACACAAGCGAAACAGTTCTCATTTGCTCTGTTCAGTTATTTCATGTGGTGATGAGTAAATTAGCCCGGGCGTATCGGAATCTGATTGAGACTTTGTATGTATGTATGTATGTATGTATGTATGTATGTATGTATGTATGTATGCATCGTGACACCGGAGAATATAACACGACTGAAGACCTTGCGCAACAGGTCCCTAGTTGATCCAACACCAGTGCTTTGATCACGTCCTCAACCTAAATCGCACTGCCTTATCTTTCAATTTTTGAGTCGAGGGCTCCAGTTAGAGTTCTCAAAAGAAAAAACCCTAAAGACTCAGCCAATCATTTATAAAAAAAATCTTTTCCTCTTTTGTCTAGTTCTTCTCATATGAGATGTCTTCTGTGTCTGCCGCTCAGAGGATATCACGCAGAGTTTAAATAGCAGAGTAAACCGCTCAGAAGATATTCTATTGATGTAACCCAAATCTCCTCTCAGCCACCGTACATGGTATCCGACCGACCGCGAAACTTTAACTTCTACCTTTTTTTTGTGTCGCCACAACGGGCCCACATGATCGCTCTTTAATCATCACTTTGTGTTCTGGAAGCCCAACCTCATCCTTATGTTTTACTAGCTGACGCTGGTGGGGTTGCCGGCATGGAGGTTGTGCTAAGTGACAAGGCTAAATACTCACTTGATTTGATTCCAGTCATTAATCGCTGAATGCTTGAATATTCACCTTCCGTTAGAAGACCCACAATTTTTTTTCTGTGATCTGACCTTGACCTTCAACATAATCGACTGCACCGTACTCCGACACTACCTCTTATTAAAAGATATACCACAGAAGTTCAATTCAATATTACTATCCCTGCACACTAACAGTTGAAGCTTACTTCGAGCTCGAGGCTCTTTTTCCTCTGGTTTCATTTGCGAAAGCGGCGTTCGAGATTCCTCCTCTCACTTTCTCTTCAACTTTGTAACGTATGCAATTCTAAAAAAAACTCTGTCCTCATGCTAGGATAGCGGCTTCAGCACATTCTCACTGCAATTTATCTGATCTATAGAATGCAGATGCAATGGTCTGTTCGGTGAAGATCCAGGAAATTTGCTAGCCTTTTAGTGGTTTAGTGGTAATGTAGCTGTGTTCAGTAGGCGTTTTTGCCCTCTCAAAGTGTAAAAATCGTTACACGACCGAGTAGGTCTAGCTTCCGACCTCACCTTCATCGAAGAAATAAAAGAGAAAGTAGACAACTGTCTTTACCTAGACAGCAACATCTCTCTTGGGTGTCAAACCACAAATGACGTGTCAGCAAGCCTGCTGGAAGCTCGGTTGAAACACCGCTGTCGCTGCCGAAACATTCGGTTGTCAGCAAATGGTCGGGTGTATACTGTAACGTTTTGGCCGTTGCTGTTGTATGCTGCAGACATCTAACAATTGCGCGAACAGACTGACTCTCATTGTGTGGACACCGGTCTTTACGTCGCATCGTTCGAGTCCGTTGTAGCAACCGAACAGGCAGTGCTGAGGTTAGACGTTGAGCTGTTGGTAATCGCTGTCGCTCGGCATCGATAAATTGCGTTGACTGGGACGTGTGTCAGGCCTACTATCAAATGGACTGCCTCTGTGTGTGATGTTTGCTGAGACAGGTAGTGTACAGAAGACGGTCAAAGTGGTCACGGTATAAGGGTATGAATGCAATGACTAAGGGGCTCCGTCATATATGTCGCTTCAGGCTGCCCAATTGGGTATCTCGGGATTATTGTAATCAATGGTCAGAGACCCTAAGTAATATGACTAAGCGTTTTAGCCAATGGTACTCACGCATCTTCTCAGTTTCTCTTCAACCTTGGTGTTTCCCCGTTTTCAAATCGACACTGCTTCCATTATTCCAATATTCCCTCCACTCCATCCAGAAGAGAGCCAAAACCGTTCCACGAACGTGCGAGGTTGATTTATGAATAAACCATATGCAATTTTCTCAGGGAGAAAGTTCGTTATCTTCTACGTAAATATTCAAAAAATATCACCAAAAAGATAATGTCTTCACGTCTCAACTACCTAGAACTATTACGATGCCATCATTCATGTTCATTTCGTTATCGATAGAGGCAACACTTGTGTTTATTTTTCCCACTCCAGACAACAATCGTGAAGATCGATTCCAATGCCCGGAATGCCTTACGGGAAATTACCTATGTCGGATTTGTGGAAAGCCGGGTGATTCGAGCGCTCAGAGTACCGTCGGACCCGTGATTCCCTGTCAGGTACCGCTTTTAGCTATTGGTCTTTCACAAATACCGCTGATATGCTATTTAGGTCCATGTGGGGTCATTTGCTATTGTCGCCTTGTATTTCCACATCCCTTTTTTTAGTAAACGCATCTTTTTTGAGTTAAACAGCGGACGGGGCAGACCCCACAGTCACGATGACTGTTGTTCACTGATGTCAACCGGTAACCTAAGCCATGGGACGTAGACTGGCGAACCATATAAGGCCCCACTAGATCAGGCCTGGTACTGAACTGGACGAAAGCAAAGCTGCCTATCACCAAATTCGGGCGGTGGAGCTCGAACCGCGGACCATAGGGTCCAACGCACGCCGGTGACAGCGACTCCACACCATTGTTCCACCACCAATTGTGGCTTTATACATCAGCAAGAAGATTTCCAATCTGCCTAAACTTCTTTTTGTGTTATACACGCAGGAGTTGTGCGAGGATACTTACTGAATCAATAAATTCCGATATACGTTGAGTAAATTTGATTTACATCTGATATCTGCTTTCCTTTAGAATAAAGGGGGAAATACGAAAAATGTTGAAGAATGGTCTTTTGTATCCTCTGTTATTCGATTTTCTTCTGCGAACTCATAGTGACAACTCCGTTTTCTCTCCATCCTCATAGATTCTTTATTCAGCTCCTTGATTTGTGCAGTACTCCAGAAACTCAATCCTAATAGAAGTGGCAGTTGCGATACCTCGGGTTGTGAAGGCGTCTACTTGTACGGTATCCCTGTTTTAGCGAACTTTTCAAACCAATGCTTGCAACATGGCGAAACTCCAACCTCATCAAGGAATTTTTCTGTCACGCCGTTTTCAAGGAAAATTCGTCACAAAGTGCTTCCCGTTGCGCATACGTCCGTTCTGAAAGGCTGCTCGTTTTCAATCTGTTATCCCAGTTGAATATTCATCACCCTCAGCAGTTTGGTTTCTGGCGCTCATGCTCCACCCTGGATACCTTGACATTTCCCATTCAATAGCTTATTTCCTTAGACAAGGAGAAGTCTGTCTGTGCATAGCGTGGTTCTTGAACTGTGGAAACGCTTTTCCTAATATGGGCATGAACATACTAGTTTTTCTCTCCCTGAAATGTTCACTTGGCTCGCTGCTGCTTACTCTTTAACCACCTACTCGACCTAATCACTTTTTGCATTGCTTCATGCCTCGCCTCCACGCCACTTGGTTATTTTTCCAGCCCGGAACTGAAACTGCAAACAGGGTGCGGTGCAATAGGCTACCGTTAGGCATACGCAAAATTTGTCCTAAATATCGAAGCGTATTAAGCTCAATTCGACGCGATAGCGAATTTTCTTCGATTCATCGCGGAACATATGGTTGCCTACGTCTGAGTTACTAAGCCACTAAATCTGTCTATCCTTCCTTTGCCAGGTCTGCTTAAACATTGCTTGTCCAAAACCTCCTGGCGATGGATGTCTTCCCCTCACGGTTTCAGAACCGTTAAGTAGAACTGATCAAACCGTGGCGCAATATACGCGACTTTTCAACTTGAGTTAAACGTGTAACGTCGTCGTTACAGATGCTTGAACTGCTTGACTCACTGATCTCCCCTCTGCCTACTCTAACCACTTTATCGGTCGGGAACGTGTTACATGTTATCGTAGAACAATATACAGTTTCAAACCCTCCAAAATTGGTGTTCTCCAAAGAGTTGTGTCTATACTCCCTATGTTTTCCGTCCTTATATTTTTGCCTGTCCAGCCTTTCATTTATTCTTTGCTCATGAGGCGTGTAAACAATCTGAGTTTTGGGGTTTTCATATTCCCACTAATGTGTCGGTAGCCAGATTCCAGGCCCGATTTATAAAACCTCTGGTTTATATGTCCATCTACATGTAAGCCAAACAATTCGTTAACTTTCATTGACATTTCAAGAGACTGAAACTTGGTGAGTGTATAGACTATTCTACTCGTGTACACTTTCTGGATTCAGTTCTTCCAGTATGATCGTTTTCCGGTGGTCAAAACCAAATGACGTTTTCCACGTCCATCGTGGAATATGTTCCATCGTGTTGGAGCGTCTTGATACGGTTCATTCGAACTTTAATGAGCGGTACACATTGTTTTCAAATACAATTTTCTCCATTTGGGGAATCGCTGGATTGCCACCCAAGGGAGTGTATTGAATGTTAGCCACACTACTCTGGTTTGTTCCTCTCATCGTCCTCAAACGGGCCCACACTCCTTTTTCATTCGTATTTACTAAATGAACGTTGTAAGCATGATGACAACCAATGAAGTTCGCTTCACCATGTTTCGCTGTGTAATAATGTGATTCATAGTATTCCGTGTGATTTCAGAGAAAATTGCATTTTTTTATCGTCTTCACAAGTTATAATCGAATTGTATCAGATTGGGCATGATGTTCTGAATTCTTCCTTTATTCCTCTCAGTCTCCTGGATGTGGTCGTCATTTTCATCGGGATTGTTTACTCGATTGGCCTGGAGTGACAACACGACCCCCGGGCAGTAATAACGGAACCACCAAAAGTGCTGACTTTCAGCTTATCAAGTGTCCTGCCCATTGTTGTAATACTTGTGTCTCGGAGCTAGACGAATCGTTCCCCACTGATGCACCGCTTCCGGGTTCCAAAGACCGCGAACTTCTCCAATGCGTCCGGTAAGCATGCTTGTTTGCGAGCATTTCTTCCGGTCGAGGTTGTAGCTTTCTAAAGTTTGTTCCCACTTTTTTCCTGAATATCGCCTCTACTTTTCGTGTAAACCGAGATCCCCCCCTCAAATACCGTAAATCATCCTCTGATGGCGTGCTGCCAAAGGGAAAAATTTCTTTAGGCCGTGGAACTCGGAGGTTAAATTTTTTTTTGTTAGACGCCAGTCTGTGATGAAACAGCAGTCGGGGCGGACCTGCTGTTCAGTGATGGAAACCGGCAATCTAAGCCCCGGGGATTGGAGTGACGCACCACATAAAGCCCCACTTGTTTAGGTGTTGTATAAAACCGGGTGACAGCAAAGCTGCCTACCTTTAAAGTTGAGTGATGGTGGTGGAGCTCGAACCTCGGACCGGTGAGAGCAACTAAACCACTGCGCCACCACCACCCTAAAATTAAATTACAGGTCCTGAAGGACTTATTGTACCGTTATCAGCCCACTTATCTGGGCTTTTAAAGCCGTAATTTCAAATCACTAAGTATTTGCACTAGAAAAACGTGGTCACATGCCCCGTTTGTGTTGAAGCTATACAGTGTGTGCTGTCGGCTGTCGTCTCAATGTTGTATACTGGCGATACCCAATTGACAACTGGTATGTGAACTCCCATCTCTACTCCAGTGCTATGTACGTAGCTTTTTTAATCAAACTCTCCGATGAAGTTGTGTGTGTGTGCGCGCGCGCTCCTGCGGATGATCTAATTTGAGCGATTTCATTGTCCATTTCAATATCAACCATCTTTGTCTTTTCACTATTGCGCCGGTTTCGGTTCGTCTTTCTGCTACTTATTCGCTCGACCGATGAAGCAACAGTAAGTGAAATGTGAACAGTAACTAGGTTCATTAGATGGATGCGGAAAGTGAGAAGATGCACGAGGACCACAGTGTCCGGCACAGCCATATCACCGACTGTTTAAACCACTGACCACGAGGTCCTCCACGAAGAAGCCCAATTTCAATTATGTGAACAAGTATTCTGGTCAAGGTTCCGTATCTTCAGACCAGGTTTTGGCCTAACTTTCGATGACCTTCTTGCCTCAGCACA